CCATGGCAACAGCGACCTGGCCAGACCTGAGGTCCTCTCAGGTCCTAATCCTGAACTGTAAGGTTAGGGGTACCCAGAGTCAGACAAGAAGGGGTGTCTGCCCGCCCTGTCCCCCAACTTGAGTAAAGGGTGTGAGTAGGAGGGGCTGTGAAGGTGAGAGTCCAAGTTGGGTGGGGTTTTATGACTGTAAATGATGGGTGTGGCCTGATACAGGAAACAGGGGAAGTTGAGGGAGGGATGGGAGAAAAGGAGGGTGGAGCACTGAGTTTATTGAGCACCCAGGGGAGGCTGGGAAGTGATTTTGTGGTCTTTAAAGTTGGAGGTGAGTAAACTGAGACAGCAGGAAAAAGTACTTGCGTAGAGGCTGGTGGAGGGTACTCAGAAGGGCTGGAATTACAACCCCAGCCTCTCATTTCATCCAACTGGTTTAATGGTGCATCTACTATATGCTATGCCTTCTTCTAGACTCCTCTGACAGGAATGAGCTGAGTAGACATCATCTCCGTACCCAGGGGACTGCGAGATGGATAGAGGAGATTCAAGTATTTCAAACTGGTGGGTGGTAAGGTGGAGAACCATTGGCTCTGTACCCAGGGGTGGGTGCTCTGCCCTGCCCTGGTCTCCCTCCTGATGCAATCTACAGATTGTGTGTCAGAGACCTCCTGGGTGTTTGCAGTCTTGCATTGTATACACCTGCCACCTGGCTCTTTTTGGTGACCGCCCCTTTTGTCCCAGAGCTCGCTCTCAGTACCTACCTGGGGATTCGGAAATCAGAGTCTTCATTGTGTCATACAGAGCTCAAATGAGAAGCAGAAAAGCAAACTCAGAGCTCAAAGGACGCATAAAACTACAGCTCTGCTAGTTGGTATTTTTGGCGGGGGAGAGGGTAGGTAAATGACTTTATTTCCTTACAGGAATAGCCCCCTCGTGGGTGTCCCTAGCTCTCGGCCCCTGGTCTCCTTTTCCAGGGCATTTTCTCACTCCCCCCCCCCAGGGGATCTCTTACCCCTGGGCATAGGCTGGGGTTCCCAGTTCTAAGTTCTGCCTGCCTCTTGGCCTCTTCCTGCCTTCCTTTTCCTTCCTTCCTTCCAGTTTCAGGCCCGTAGCTCCTGACATCAGTGCTTCTCTGTGTCTTTCCAGTTTGTTTCTTGACTAAATCCCAAGGCAGGATGAACCAAGGCCTTTTGCTTTCTTCCTGTCTACACTCAGTAGCCATTCATGACTGGAATGGAAACAAAGTCACCGAGAAGGACAGATGGGCCCAATATGATCACCAACACCCAAGGCCCTTCCATACTTCCCAGCACCCTAGCCCAGGTTCCTGACTCCTCTCTCAGCTGTCCTCTACCTCCAGTTCAGATTTTTCTCTCTTCTAACCTTTTCCACTCTTTCCCGCAGGTTCATGAGTCTTCACATCCTGAGATCAGACCTCCCCTGAGTACCCACTAACCAAAATGGAAACCCATGGACATCTCCACCAGATGCCCAGACCCAGCTATATCTGCAGCCCTTGAATCTCACCTCCTACATACTCAGAACGTCATTCACTTGTCTCCACTCCCACCATCTTGCTTCCAGCCATCCTCATTGCTCATCTGGGCTGCTGAGATCACCTTTTGCCTGCCTTCAGCATCCAGTGGGACCCTCCTCACAACTACCCTTCATTAAATCATCTTCTCTAGGGAAAACCTGACCATGACATGCCAGTGCTAGGAGAGGGATGAACCTTCCTTCTTGCCGGCCTGTGAGGTCATAGACTGTTCATGGCTTGGCCCTGCCTACTTTACATCCAACTTCCTTTAGCCCCCGAACATTTGAGATCTTGGGGTGGAGCGCCTGCGCGCTTCAGCTCAAGGTGAGCACTCTACCGCTTGAGCCATAGCACCACTTCCGGTTTTCCAGTGGTTTATTGGATATGAGTCTCACAGACTTTGCTGCAGCGGCTGGCTTTGAACCACAATCCTCAGATCTCAGCCTCCTGAGTAGCTAGGATTACAAGCGTGAGCCACCGGCACCCGGTGACAATTTTGTTTTTAAAGGCCATATAATCATTGAGTGCTGGTAGTTCATGCCTTATATTTATCACTACTCCTGGAGGCTGAGATCTGAGGATTGAGGTTCAAAGCCAGACCCAAAAGAAAAGTCTGTGATATTCTGATCTCTAATTAACCAGCAAAAAGCCAGAAGTAGAAGTGTGAGTCAAGTGGTAGAGCACCAACTGTAAACAAAAATTCCCTGAGTTTAAGCCTTAGTACCATCTCCCAGTCCCCCACCCCGCAAAAAAAAAAAAGGAAGAAAAAAGGGAAGAAGATAAAAAGAAGGAAGGAGGGAGGGAGGAAGATGGTAGACTTGTTTTGGTGCCAACAGCGGATCTGTATTAACAGCACCAGTAAGTGACAGCTTAAAGCTGACACTTCTATAGTACCAATTATATGCTAAGACTCTGTTTTGTGCTGTAATACTTTGAGGAGGCAGAAAGCTGTTAGTGTCCCCACCGAGAGGGTGTGGTGACTTACCCAGCACACTCAGTCACTAAGTTAAATTTGTGAGTAGGCTATTTGGCTCTAGGGCTAACTCTCGCCATTGTTGAATGAATGAGCCAATGAATGATCACTTGAGATAGGGCAGCAGGGTCAAACATTGTTGTTTTTGTTTGGTTGTGCTGAAGATCTAACCCTTAGCCCGGAGCCTGGTAGACAAGGGCTCTACTGCCGAGCTCAGTCCCAAGCCTTCAAACACGGTAAACAGAAATAGGCCTCTAGCAACAAAGATGCCATTCCTCTGGACAAAGTATAACAAGAAGGGTACCAAATGCAGTGCCCTCAAGTGACTCCTTACCCCATCCAGAGCTGCCAGCCTGAACAAGTCCCCTTCTCCTTTGGCCTGTTCTTATCAAAGATCCTATCAGAAATGGCAAATCCTGCCATCATCTGGAATTCCCATCCAACAATGGCAACTTCTGCTGAATCCTATCTGCTTCAGTCTGCTCGGTGAGTGCCTCTCTTCTTTGCAGAGAGAAGATTGAGGAAGGGCTTTGCATGTAGCTGATTGAATGTCAACTTTTCTTTTTTCTTTTTTTTGGCTGGTCCTGGGGCTTGAACTCTGGGCCTAGGCACCATCCCTGAGCTTCTTTTGCTCAAGGCTAGTGCTTTACCTCTTGAGCCACAGTGCCACTTAAGGGCTTTTTCTGACTAGTTTATTGGAGATAAGAGTCTCCTGGTCTTTCCAGCTTGAGCTGGCTTTGAACCATGATCCTCAGATCTCAGTCTCCTGAATAGGTAGGATTACAGGTATGAGCCACCTTCTTCAGCCTCCAGTTTTCTGTCTGTGAAATGATACGTAGCATTACTCTTCATTTAAAAGTGCAGTTGTTATTCAATGAGACTAAGAGTGCAGCTGGCCCCCATTCAAAGCAGCTAGTAACCAACAGGAGTTGTGATTCTCTTTATCCCAGCCCCCAGAACACATGGAGCCACAGTGGCCAGTTGAAACAGCACAGACAGTGGGGATAGGGAAAGCTGAGTTGAAATTCTATGTCTGTTCCTTTTTAGTCACTTTGTGATATCACTGGCTCCGGGGGTCAGGTAACACCTACACTTTCAGAACACTTTGGGAAAACACTTTGGGACTTAGACTTGGCAAGCCTTTTTGCCCCACCATAGAAGGGTGTTAGTAATTTTTTGTTAGCGAAATCTTCCATCTTTCTTTTACAAAAGAAAACGTAGTTGGCTTAGTGGTAGAGTGCTTGCCTTGCATGCACGAAGCCCTGGGTTCGATTCCTCAGTACCACATAAACAGAAAAAGCCAGAAGTGGCACTGCGGCTCAAGTGGTAGAGTGCTAGCCTTGAGCACAGAGAGGTTCAAGGAGAGTGCCCAGGCTGAGTTTAAGCTCCAGAATCAGCAGAAATAAAGAAAGAAAAGAAAGGAAGGGAGGGAGGGAGGGAAGGAGGGAGGGAGGAAGGGAGGAAGAAAAGGTATTTTAATGCCCCTACCCAAAAAGAGGAAGGATATTATCTGCGCATAACAAACTTTGATTTGCTTATTTCACTCACTTCCAGCATTTGGAAATTGGTACACAACCTCATGTTCCACTTTTCTCTTCTGCAGAGTGGAGTAATAATATATCTGCATGGGTCACAGCACTGATCTAGACTCTGTAGTGGGGTTAGGGCCTTCGTTCCTCCCCTCATCTTCTAGTCTGTACCTTTCTCCCTTCATCCAATTTCCTTGTCTCATTTTTTTTGACCCTCCTAGAACTTGAGAGAAAGGCCAAGAGAAAAGCCACTGTGGTGGGGTCTCAAAGGACTTTATTGATGCCAGAAGGGAACATATGTGGTGGCCTGGGTAGTTACAGCCAAGGGAAGAGGACTTGCTGTCCACCGACAACACAGTAACTCTGCAGAAAGGGAGCTGTTTTCCATCCAGAACTGTTCCAGGTGTTTGAATGGAGCTGAATAGAGGGGGCGGGGTGGGGGGGCCCAGCTGCAGGGCAAGGTCTGAGGGGGGATTTTTTTCTCTCTTTTGGAGACAGGGGGTTTTTTGTGTTTTTCTCTCTCGGTGTGGGGGGGGTGTGGAGAGGGAAATCGTTTAATGGAATGAGATAGTGTAGAAAAAAAAAGGAAAAAATGAGATGGACAGAGAGACAGACTGAGAGATTGAGAGAGAAAGAAAAAGTGAGAGTTGCCTCAAGCCAGCTTTGTTTCTGATAGGTGATCTGGAAGCCTGAGCTCTAGTCTCCGTGCCCTAGAAAGCAAGCTAGACTGCTCTAAGCCACACCCTTCGAGACTCAGTATCCCCAGCAGTAAAGGGCCTGTGCATTCTATGGTTGGTCCAGTAACAAGCAATGTGGGGAGTGGATGTCCACAGTTTTCTAGTGGTTAATTGGAGAGAAGAGTCTCAAGGTCTTTCCTGCCCCAATTGGCTTTGAACATCAATCCTCAGATCTCAGTCTCCTGAGTAGCAAGGATCACAGTCGTGAGCCACCAGCACCGGTCTTTTTTATTTTGTTTGATTTTATTTTTAATTTCTTCATGGATCCTAGTTTGAGGGAGGGATCCAGCACCAGAGATCCCAAGATTTGTGGGATCACAAACCTAGAAGCCTATTGGATTTGAGTCCAGAGAAGCACATGTTGCGGTTGCAGTTACCTTGGTAACTGGGGGGACAGGCAGAACATGGCTTCCCCATCTTGTAGGGCGCCTCTCCAATCCAGTTGCCCCTGGAAGAGAAAAGATGCCAGGAAAACAGAGTTAGGGCATTAAGTGAGCAACCCAATCCATATTTCAGCACTGGGATCATTGGTCATGTGACCTTGGGAAGGTCATACCCCTAAGCCTCAGTTTCTTCATCTGCAAAACCAACAGAAGACCCCCAACACACAGAGATGCAGCAAAGTTCAAATACATGCACACTGCCTGGTGGGTGATTCAGGATTTATTTCTTATTCCCCCATCCCCTTTGCAGTAAGACAGATCTGAGAGCTCTGGTCCTTGGTTCTAGCTCCTGATGACAGGCAGAACCATCTTTTGAAAGGTTGGTTTTTATCCTGGGTGAAATCAATCAGTGGAACATTACAGTGCCTTCTGAGAAAACAGCTCATCATATTCATGTGCCGTACCAAATGAGAGTTAGAGGAATTTGCCCATGTCTTCTGACAAAAAAAAAAAAAAAAAGGACTGGGGCTGGGAAGGTGGCTCAGTGGTAGAGCGCTTGCCTTGCATGCATAAGGCCCTGGGTTCGATTCCTCAGCACCACATAAGAAAAAAAGAAAAAAGCTGGAAGTGGCGCTGTGGCTCAAGTGGTAGAGTGCTAGCCTTGAGCTGAAGAGCTGAGGGACAGCGCCCAGGCCCAGAGTT